GGTTCTGCTGAGATTGCTTTCTCTTCCTTCGTCATGTCTCTCTGGAGGAATACTGTCTTGTATCTTCTCACATTTAACAGTTGGCTCTTCCTCGCTTTAATTGCCTCCTTTGTGGTCTCGTTTGTAAATACACTCTCTTTATCAGGCACTTTCTGTCCTTGTTGTACCAGCCTAGCCTAAAAACCTCTATGTTTTGTCCAGTCCCTTCCATCTGTAACTCCTTTAGGATCTCACTCACTGCCTCAATGTCCTTATCTTTCTTCTGTCTTACTAGAACCTTCCTGTGTTTTAATACCCACTGCTACCACTGATTTTTTCCTCTCCAGCAGCTGACTAGTGCACTTTGCTGCTTCATGTGAGGTAGCTGTTTTCATGGCTATTTCCTTCACTGTGGACATTGCTTCTGATCTCTTTCTAAGCATTTATGCAAATTTTGTAAGTACAATGGCAGTCCCTACCATTGATACATTTCCATCTTCTTTTGATATAATTATCTGAAGCTGAGTCTGAATATTGTTCTCTTTGAGGGTTCTTATCTCCTCCTTTGTTGCTATCAGCTTGCTGTGCAGGTGCTTATTGCATTCTTCAATTTCATGCATCTCCCTTCTGATATCCTCCCAAGCTTGGGCGAACATCTCTTTCCTGTGATCACTCTGACCATTCCCTGTGCCATTGGTGCATCTTCCTGTCATGGATGTTCCTTTTCCTACTATGTTGTGATAGGGTTAGTTAGGGAGGGGAGAGAGAGAGAGAGAGAGAGAGAGAGAGAGAGAGAGAGAGAGAGAGAGAGAGAGAGAGAGAGAGAGAGAGAGAGAGAGAGAGAGAGAGAGAGAGAGAGAGAGAGAGAGAGAGAGAGAGAGAGAGAGAGAGAGAGAGAGAGAGAGAGAGAGAGAGAGAGAGAGAGAGAGAGAGAGAGAGAGAGAGAGAGAGAGAGAGAGAGAGAGAGAGAGAGAGAGAGAGAGAGAGAGAGAGAGTGTGCTTGCAGGGGTTGAGCTCTGACTCTTTGGTCCCACCACTCAACTGTCAATCAACTGATGTACAGATTCCTGAGCCTACTGGGCTCTATCATATCTATATTTGAAACTGTGTATTGAAGCCTTTTCACATTTTTGCCTAATGTATTCCAGTTGTCAATGTGCTCTTCTCACATTGAAAAAGTTTTCTTATGTCCCTGTGGCTCATTTGGGTACTCAGTCTCCTCCTGTGTCCCCTTGTTCACGTACCACCCATGTTAAAAAGTTTATTCTTATCTACCCTGCCAATTCCTCTGAGAATTTTTTAGGTAGTGATCATGTCTCCCGTTAATCTTCTGTTTGCCAGTGTTGTGAGGTTTTCTCGCGCAGCCTTTCCTCGTAGCTCATGCCTCTTAGTTCTGGGACTAGCCTAATGGCATACCTCTGATCTTTTTCAAGCTTTGTCTTGTGCTTGACAAGGTACGGGCTCCATGCTGGGGCCGCATACTCCAGGATTGATCTTACATATGTGGTGTACAAGATTCTGAATTATTCCTTACACAGGTTCCTGAACGCCGTTTTGATGTTAGCCAGCCTCGCATATGCCGCAGACGTTATTCTCTTTATGTGGGCTTCAGGAGACAGGTTTGGTGTGATATCAACTCCTAGATCTTTCGCTCTGTTCATTTCATGAAATACTTCATCTCCCATTCGGTATCCTGTGTCTGGCCTCCTGTTTCCACTGCCTAGTTTCATTACGTTGCATTTACTCGGGTTGAACTTTAGTAGCCATTTGTTGAACCATTCCGTCAATCTGTCTAGGTCATCTTGTAGCCTCCTACTATCTTCCTCTGTTTTAATCCCCTCATAATTTTTGCATCATCAGCAAACAATGAGAGGAATGATTCTATACCCTCTGGTAGATCATTTACATATATCAGAAACAGTATAGGTCCAAGGACTGAACCCTGTGGGACTCCACTGGTGACGTTTCGCCAATCTGAGCCTTTACCCCTCACAGTGATTCGCTGTCTTCTGTTGCTTAGGTACTCCCTTATCAAATGGAGGAGTATCTTCCCTTTCACTCCTGCCTGCATCTCCAGCTTTTTCACTAGCCTCTTGTGTGGTACTGTGTCAAAGGCTTTCTGGCTATCCAAAAATATGCAGTGTGCCCAGCCCTCTCTTTCTTGCCTGGTCGTAGAATTCAAGTAACCCTGTGAGGAAGGACTTGCCATCCCTGAACCCATGTTGATGTTGTGTTACAAATTTCTTTCGCTCCAGATGTGCCACTAGTGTTTTTCGCACAATCCTCTCCATCAGGTTGCATGGTATGCAAGTTAGGGACACTGGCCTGTAGTTCAGTGCCTCCTGTCTATCTCACTTCCCCTGTGTGTGTGTGTGTGTGTGTGTGTGTGTGTGGTGTGTGTGTGTGTGTGTGTGTGTGTGTGTGTGTGTGTGTGTGTGTGTGTGTGTGTGTGTGTGTGTGTGTGTGTGTGTGTGTGTGTGTGTGTGTGTTTATGACCTGTCTTTACCTGTGTCTTCTCATAGAGCAAAACGTGTAAATGTGTATCAGGTGTGGTGTCTGGCCAAGTCTTCGTCATCTTCACCACCATCCCTTCATCACATTATGGTTCCTTTCTTTATTACCTTTATTTCCAGTTGTTAGAGACTTTGACACATGACCAAATGAGATTTCCTAATATTTTGAACTGGAAAGGTGCTTTGAACTCGGTCATTTTACAAGTGTGTCTGGAAAGATTTTCTGCAAGATGAATGTTGGAATGGGCGTCATATTTCTGAAGGAGTATCTGAAGAGGTTAACAAGGTCGTTCTTAGGCCCATTACCTTATGGGTATGACAGGTTGATTTTTTTGTTTCTATCTTTTTGCAGGTATTTTGAGAACGCCAAATTGTAATGACTTGAAGTTTTCAGTATATTTCTTATAGTTTGAGACCAAATGTGTGGCAGTTCAGGAAACTGGAACTTAGCTCTGCAGCAACTATTTTTAATTTATATCCATAGTTTAACGTGCATTGAATAATTCTTAGAATTTTGCAACTATTATGCAAATAAATAGCCCATAAAAATGTTTTAAAAAATATTTTACAATTTGTACATTTGAAAAGTTTATAAGTACACTTGAAAATTTTGATTCGTCTTTTTTTTTCATTTGATCTTCAGTTATTTGAATATATATATGTGTGTATATTTGCCTTAAAAATTTGTCCGCTGCGTGTAGTGTCTAACTTGATGGAAAATAACTCTGGACGATGTAGGCTTGTTAGGCTTTACTGCCAGAGACCAATGGGAGGACATTAGGCCTATGGGAGGCCATTTGTCCAAAAACGATGTCAACGATTTTCAGATTATATTTAAGCAAACATTTGCTAAAATATAGATTTAAGTAAAGTATGCATATAATGAAAACAAAATTAGATTGCATAGTTACACTTTCCTGCTATAGAAGACATAGTTACTGTTACAGATACACTGTAAAGTGACATGGGCAAATGCCTTTTTAGAAATGAAAATGTTTATGTGTGTATATATATAATAATAATATATATAATATATTAGGAAATCAATAAACTTTTTATATAATCATGGACAACTACTGGAGGTGTTCGGTAACGCTATAGTATTACCTCGTTCTCATAATACTCTTCGACAACCCTTTTGGACACAGCCTAAGAAACAGACACCTTAGTTAAACATCGTGTTCTTGCACACTCTAAGGTTGATGGTGTGCGCTCCGACGACTCGGAAGGCAGAAGTGTGGGGAGCCTGTCTTCTGGTGAAAGGAATAGCAGAAAGACTAAGTGTTCCATCCTCAAGGGAATGTGATTGTGTATGCTCACAGAGCCTTTCTCTTCCGGTTAGACTCACAGTTGTTGTTGGAGAGGCGAGACGAGATTAAAAAACTTTACACAAAGGTTAAATTAATATACAATGCGCGTGGCCTCGTTGTCATGGTTACAGAAGAATTATCTTTGTTATTTATTTTTATTCCCCGAAATTTAATATCTTACGAGAGTATTGTTCACATTCATGGGCTTAATATTATTCTCTTATTTATATATTTCAAATGTTATGTATTTTATCATCAGTTGTTAGTGTTCTCTCTTCCTTTTTTACTGTTATTGCATATATATTATTATTTATTTAGCCTTGTCTGTTTTTCATCTTCGTCTTATATGGTAATACATTTTCATTCATCTTTCTAATGTTTTGTGTTCTCCCTTCTGTCTCTTTTCATTTATTCACATTTTCTCTTAACAGCATTCTTGGATATTCTTTTGTTGTTGTTTCCCGTTCATTTTCTGTTATATCATATCCTTATTATTCATTATTAAGAATAGGCTTTACGTGAACATATTCCTAACAAAAATTAATGTAGATCTTGGTCTTTATTCTTATTCATGTATTGTTCTCTGTTTATGTCTCGGTATTCTTCATCTTGCTTGCCTGTTTCCTTCTTCCTTCTCCCTTGCTTGCCTGTTTCCTTCTTCCTTCTCCCTTGCTTGCCTGTTTCCTTCTTCCTTCTCCCTTGCTTGCCTGTTTCCTTCTTCCTTCTCCCTTGCTTGCCTGTTTCCTTGTTCCTTCTCCTTTGCCTTGCTTATATTAACCAGCTTTCTGAAACAATCCCGTGTTTGTCTCGTCTGGAACATTTCACTTTGAATTCTGTTTAGCTATAAAATTTGTTTTATCTCCCCAGCAGCAGCAGCTGCTGCTGCTTCTGCTGCTGGGACTGCTACTGCTCTCCTTGATCTGGTGAGTGATGAGAGTGTGGGTGAAGGAGCAGGCTAGGAGGCCAGGGAGGTGTTCACCATCCTCTCAGCTTTCCTTCTTTCTTTCTCTCTCTCTCTCTCTTCACGTCTCCATGTTTCATCACCCATCCTTCAGGTGTTTGTATAGTCACCGTATCATTATCATTCATTCTCCAGAATCTTACCGTTTTGTCAAGTATATATATATATATATATATATATATATATATATATATATATATATATATATATATATATATATATATATATATATATATATAACCTATCCTTTACCAACTTTCTTAACCTTCATCACCTTCTTTGCTCTTCCCCTTTTTCCCTTAATCCGCATAATGTTAGTGAGGACAGAATTTCATTTAGCGAGACTGAAAAGTAGTAGGATTTTTCATGCAAAGGTGGGTGCATGGGGATAGATCCCGACCCACCTATGACCATCCCTTGACACATACCAGTCACCCTGCAAAGTCTGGTGAGGCTAGCCCCGAGCGTCTAACTTTCCAACACACACTAACACAAGTTATTTTGCTCCTCTCTGATGATTTTCTGTTCTGTTGACATTGTGAAGCTCTTGCTCTTCAGAAATTCTTGTGTACTTGCATTTTTTTTGTTTCATTCCGCGCGTTGTGTTGTACGTGATGACCTCCGTGCCGCTCTTCACACAGTGAGGAGCCCCGCCTCGTGGATCCTGGAGGCGGGCACGGCCGGGGTGTGGGTGACGGAGTCCGTCTTCTCGTCGTAGAGGAGCAGGTGACGGGTCTCCTCCTCCACCTCCTCCCCGCCACCGCCGCGCCGCCGGAGCGTCGTCCCCACCAGCACCGCGATGATCACCACGTAGAACACCACCACGATCTGCGGACCAGAGAACACGCATGGGCTTAGTGAACACCAACAAGACACGAAACAACTGATGGGTTACAACATCGCCCTGATCAGTTACCAGGATAAGCATGTTATGAACGTGATAATTAAAGCCTTTGCCATCAAACACACACACACATGTACACACTGACGTCGACACTCTGCCTTACATAACTACACCTTACATCTAATACCCACATCCTACCCTAAATACCTGCACCCTACCCACCGACCACAACAGTTGTGGACCCCTACACACACAACCACAGCTGTGGACCCCTACACACACAACCACAGCTGTGGACCCCTACACACACAACCACAGCTGTGGACCCCTACACACACAACCACAGCTGTGGACCCCTACACACACAACCACAGCTGTGGACCCCTACACACACAACCACAGCTGTGGACCCCTACACACACAACCACAGCTGTGGACCCCTACACACACAACCACAGCTGTGGACCCCTACACACACAACCACAGCTGTGGACCCCTACACACACAACCACAGCTGTGGACCCCTACACACACAACCACAGCTGTGGACCCCTACACACACAACCACAGCTGTGGACCCCTACACACACAACCACAGCTGTGGACCCCTACACACACAACCACAGCTGTGGACCCCTACACACACAACCACAGTTGTGGACCCCTACACACACAACCACAGCTGTGGACCCCTACACACACAACCACAGCTGTGGACCCCTACACACACAACCACAGCTGTGGACCCCTACACACACAACCACAGCTGTAGACCCCTACACACACAACCACAGCTGTGGACCCCTACACACACAACCACAGCTGTGGACCCCTACACACACAACCACAGCTGTGGACCCCTACACACACAACCACAGCTGTGGACCCCTACACACACAACCACAGTTGTGGACCCCTACACACACAACCACAGCTGTGGACCCCTACACACACAACCACAGCTGTGGACCCCTACACACACAACCACAGCTGTGGATAACATACCACATAACATGTTATCCACATACTGTGGATAATATACGAAAATAATATGTCTCTTCCTTCAAATACCTTAGTGTCCGAGTCCCTTGTACCTTAACTGCAGTCAATAAGTTACATCAACAATATAGAGACAGACTCAAGGCTCTCTGAGTTGTAGAGGGTACAGCCCTAATTACAGTGTTAATATCAGAATAGCAAAAATGACGTACTTAGCATATATAAGGTCTCTAGACTATCATGCACCAGCTTTAGTCCTGCAAAATAGCAAAAGTATTGATAGACTGGAAAAAATTAAAAATGGAGCCCTCATAAATATACTTAGCTTTCCTATAACCTCCAAATTCTCAATATGCGGAAATAACTACATATACCCAGCATTCAAGATTGAACTTTTTAAATCAATCTTATCATCAAGTGAGTCTAAATGGATCAAAGAACGACCACAGTTATTAAAATGATAGTGCACTTCCTTCCACCCTGGCAGATAGTACCTTTTGACATCCTGACGCCTGCATACCCCACCAAGAAACTAATCTCAAACAACCCTCATGCTCAACATACCTGGAGCATTCCTGGAGAGGATTCCGGGAGTTATTCTACTCCCCGAACCCGGCCAGGGGCCAGGTTCGGCAGGCCAGGAAGCAGTGTGCATGCGTGCTGCTAAATTAAGAACACTAGAATACATACAAAATATACAAACTAAAAACAACATCACACAGACCATACACACTGACGGATCACTCAGTACAGCTACAGGGAGGGCAGGGAAGTGCTGTTATTGCTCATCAGCCCGATGGCAGCACAATTCAAAGGCATATATGAATTAGTAATTGTTGAGTAACATCTACAAGGCAAGCCGAGTTGGTAGTAATACTGGTAGCACTTAAAATTATTGACAACACTGAAGTAGACAGCTTAATTATCTCTGACTCCCTTTCCTCACTACGAGCAATAAATAGTTTACAATCAAGTAATAACGTGCTTGTTTCCGAAGCCAGACATTGATATATAAACAGACTTAGCAAGAGGGTAAATATACAAATGTTGTGGATTCCTTCTCACATTGGCATGCAGGAACATGACAAAGTTGACGCCCTTGCTAAGGCTGCAGTAAATAAAGACAGTATTGAACGGAATCTTGAGTTGTCAAACAGGTGTCTCAACGGTTTCATTAGATGAGAACTCCTGGATGGATTTGAAGAATGCAGAACAGTGCAAACTGGAACTAGCAGGTCCATTGTTCATCACAACGAAATGTGTCAAGTAAAACATGAATATGGAGCAAGTAACAAAGTCAGCAGAATATGAGTTATTGTCACAGCTCGAATAAGACTTGACTACACGTGTCTGGCAGTTGGGCTTGTATAGGGCTCTAGATGAAGTGTGGACAAAGACAGGGACACGCTATAACATTATATCTTAGACTGTAATAAAATTGAGCCAGAGATAAATCTAAACTCACACTGCATGAAATGGCTCAATTTTATTACAGTCTAAGATATAATGTTGTAGTGTGTCACACTTTCTCGTCTAATATATCTGTCTGTGTGAAATAGTTTAAATCCATTCATTTGATATTCAGCTAATAGTTCTCTATTTCTACCTTCATTCACGCTTCGGAAAGTGCAATAATATCAAGTAACCTATCGTATTACTAATGATAAAGTACCTGAAATCCTTGCACTGTTTCCATATTTCGCTTCCTGAAGATAAACGACATATGAGATTAAGAAGCAAGTAGTGTATTGCGTAGACTAACAATAAACAGCAGCTCCCCTATGACCCCTGTAATATCTCCATTGCTGAAACAATTATGCAATAGTGATAAGACCTACCTTAAATGAACAATGATTTACTGTAAATACAAAGCTACCGAAATTGAACAATCTCTGTAACTTGCTGACATTATAATATAAGGTGTGCAGGATAGATATAATCACTGTAACTTGACGCAACAATGAGAAAATACGAAGAAGCTGTGATGAGGATTCGAACTTATGCGTTGGGTATTCCCAGACACACACCCCACCATTACCAGACCACAAGACCGTGGCTTAAGGTCTGATAATACACATATCATTAACCACAACAGCATTGTGACGACTATTAATTTTATTTTGGATATTTTCCATTCTACGCAAATATTTTCTATCATCAGGAGAATGAAGAAACTCTAGATCACTTAATCTTGACATTTTTATTGTTCGACGTTTGGTCAGCCATGTGACATCTCCAGGAGAACTCTCCAAGCACAGACGACACAGGTTCTCTCTAAGCTTACATGTTGACACATACATGTATAAGTGTGGGTTCCCTTCACCCAACAGCTCTCTTAGACTAGTAGCGTGGTCAGTCTCCTGGGCTTGTAGCGTGGCCTGTCTCCTGGGCTTGTAGCGTGGTCTGTCTCCTGGGCTTGTAGCGTGGCCTGTCTCCTGGGCTTGTAGCGTGGTCTGTTTCCTGGGCTTGTAGCGTGGTCTGTCTCCTGGGCTTGTAGCGTGGTCTGTCTCCTGGGCTTGTAGCGTGGCCTGTCTCCTGGGCTTGTAGCGTGGTCTGTCTCCTGGGCTTGTAGCGTGGCCTGTCTCCTGGGCTTGTAACGTGGTCTGTCTCCTGGGCTTGTAGCGTGGTCTGTCTCCTGGGCTTGTAGCGTGGTCTGTCTCCTGGGCTTGTAGCGTGGTCTGTCTCCTGGGCTTGTAGCGTGGCCTGTCTCCTGGGCTTGTAGCGTGGCCTGTCTCCTGGGCTTGTAGCGTGGTCTGTACTCACCTAGTTGTACTCACCTAGTTGTGTTTGCGGGGGTTGAGCTCTGGCTCTTTGGTCCCGCCTCTCAACCGTCAATCAACAGGTGTACAGATTCCTGAGCCTATCGGGCTCTGTCATATCTACACTTGAAACTGTGTATGGAGTCAGCCTCCACCACATCACCCCCTAATGCATTCCATTTGTCAACCACTCTGACACTAAAAAAGTTCTTTCTAATATCTCTGTGGCTCATTTGGGCACTCAGTTTCCACCTGTGTCCCCTTGTGCGTGTTCCCCTTGTGTTAAATAGACTGTCTTTATCTACCCTATCAATCCCCTTCAGAATCTTGAATGTGGTGATCATGTCCCCCCTAACTCTTCTGTCTTCCAGCGAAGTGAGGTTTAATTCCCGTAGTCTCTCCTCGTAGCTCATACCTCTCAGCTCGGGTACTAGTCTGGTGGCAAACCTTTGAACCTTTTCCAGTTTAGTCTTATCCTTGACTAGATATGGACTCCATGCTGGGGCTGCATACTCCAGGATTGGCCTGACATATGTGGTATACAAAGTTCTGAATGATTCTTTACACAAGTTTCTGAATGCCGTTCGTATGTTGGCCAGCCTGGCATATGCCGCTGATGTTATCCGCTTGATATGTGCTGCAGGAGACAGGTCTGGCGTGATATCAACCCCCAAGTCTTTTTCCTTCTCCAAGTCTGTCTCCTGGGCTTGTAGCGTGGCCTGTCTCCTGGGCTTGTAGCGTGGCCTGTCTCCTGGGCTTGTAGCGTGGCCTGTCTCCTGGGCTTGTAGCGTGGTCTGTCTCCTGGGCTTGTAGCGTGGCCTGTCTCCTGGGCTTGTAGCGTGGCCTGTCTCCTGGGCTTGTAGCGTGGCCTGTCTCCTGGGCTTGTAGCGTGGCCTGTCTCCTGGGCTTGTAGCGTGGCCTGTCTCCTGGGCTTGTAGCGTGGCCTGTCTCCTGGGCTTGTAGCGTGGCCTGTCTCCTGGGCTTGTAGCGTGGTCTGTCTCCTGGGCGGTTCAACCTTCCCACCCTGGAAAGTCCAGTAATCCTGAGGAGTTCACTGGTGAAGTCCCCCACCCTGGAAAGTCCAGTAATCCTGAGGAGTTCACTGGTGAAGTCCCCCACCCTGGAAAGTCCAGTAATCCTGAGGAATTCACTGGTAAAGTCCCCCACCCTGGAAAGTCCAGTAATCCTGAGGAGTTCACTGGTGAAGTCCCCCACCCTGGAAAGTC